ATCCTTTGAAGAATGTGACCTCCGTGCCCCTACCACCAACTCCTTTACGATCGAACCTAGAAGCCCTTCGTCTTCCATCCTCGGGCTTGGGGGGTAGTGTGCCAGGGAAACCATAATAACCCTCCAGCCTTCAGGTTGACTGGCTAGGTCTTCGGCCTTAACATCGACCGGTTGCCAAACCAACCCTTTGACCTCCACACAAGCTGGAAGAGCCTTTAGACCTCCATAACGACCGAAAACCCCTTCGGCTTCGTTCTGACCCCAACAATAGCCACAAGCCAAAAAAAAAGGTTGGGCCCTATTCGGGAACGAAAAGAATTGAGTACCCATTTTGGACAGTCGATAACCCGAAGGGGTACTCGACCATGATGGAAGCCGAACCATCCCTTGTCATCAAAATTACATTACCTTATTTATGGAAAAATAATAAAATTCCATGTCAGTAGGGATCGGGGAGTGAAAGTCAAGGTATTAGCCTAGTAATCCAAAGGGCCCATCAGGCCCAAATATGTCATTATAAATATAGCATTGATGGGACAACTGAGGTAAGGTAATATCATTTAATATAGCCATATTTATTGCTCTGAACCGAATACTCACTTGAGCGTCAAAGTGCCTTAGCAGGTACCCTTCCCACCACACGAAGCAAGGATCTGGGTGACCTCTATCTTGAAGCCCAAAAGGTCAACTAGTAAGGAGTGACTCAACAAGTAAGTGTTCAGCAATAGGAACAAACCAGAACTTGGTCTCGTATCTCCTAACACAGATTGATATCCACTAACACCCACGCATAATGGTCCAACGTCTTATTCACTATTGCAGCGCAATGGCGATGGAAAAGAATACAAGGGTGCCAATATTCTTGAGGCAAACTAGAAATACATACCCAACAATATGCATTGGACTGTCAAACAGATAAAGGGTTGAAATTCAAAGTTCACAAAAACAAATGAAGCACTCCCAACGAGATGGTGCAAGAACCCACTACAAGTCCACATCTGAGGAGAATGAGAATTCAAAATAACCTTTTCCAAGGGAGATAACATGCCAGACTACTCCTCTTAGTTTCCAAAGATCACCTAACCCTAACTTTAGGTCTTGAAACTTCAACGGAGTGGCACCCTTGGGTAAAGACACACAATTGTTATGATGCTTCTTGCACCCAGCCAAGCCCACCTAATTTTCTTTCTCTAGGATGGAAACTACAAAAGCCACACCTTTTAAACATGGAGCAGGAAGAAGGTTTGAAAAAGAATCACCATCCTAAAGAACAATTGAATGTACTGCTTGAGCAAAGGACCTCTTATTCATGACGACGAGGTTCATTTTTGTAGGAGAAACTCCAACGACGAGGAAATTCCATGGGATGAACATGTTGGCACCCATGATTGCATGCATGCATGCAAAACCCTAACAGAGCATTCAAAACCCTATGTCTCAACCCAAACTTGATTTTCGTACCATAGAGAAATTTGTATAATAAGTGTCGTAACCTGAAAATTTCTAATCTCACAACCAATGGTTTAGACTACCTTTTTGAAAAATCTCATCAATTAGGGAATGCCCGGAGACCAGACTAATCCCTAATTAATGGCTTTGAAAATGAGTTCATGGAGTTGCTACCAATGTTTTATTCAAAATATCGGAAAAAAGAAAAGGTTTTAAAAAATCCAATAATGGCCTTGACAACCAAAATTGGGCTCAGGGTCGATTACGTGTACGGAAGGTATTAAACACCCCCACAACGCCCTAAATCGGTACCCTTATGTTGAAGTTAACATGACAATAATTAACTGATTAGATATTAGATCCCCTTTGTTAACAGTTACTTACGTATGTGAAATTTAAATTTACACATTTTTTCTTGAAGAGTCTACATGATGATTATTGGTTTAGGGAAATATTTAGCAAAGTGAGATGTATAAAGAAGGGAAGAATATTGATTGAAATACCTCGTAATTGAGCTTTTATTTGATCTTCAAACTTGAGACTTCTTAGGTGCTTTTTGGCCACCTATCACGCTACAATTCGCCTCACAAGATCTCAAGAAATACAAAGATAAGAGAGAAAAGTAGAGATTTTGAGCTAAATGGAGTTCTGAAGCAATTTTTTCGACCCCGGGAGTAGTGCCTGAGTCTACTATTTATAGACGTCAGATCTAATCAGAACGACCCATTCTGGGTCATTCAATTATGAGTTAAATTTGAACCTAGAATAGCCCGTTTTGACGACAAAATGACCCATTCCAGATTTGAACGTATCTCATAACAAACTGCACTAGAATGACCCATTTTGGCCTGTTCTCAATTAGGGTTTTCTAGGCCTTTTAAAAGCTTGGATATGCCCGTTCCACTTTAGAAATGGTTCGTTCCAACTTAGGAACGACTTGTTTCGGATTTAGAACAGTCCATTCTAGGCTACTAAACCAAGTTTGTTGGGCCTCAAATACCCCCTTTGTTGACATATGGTGTTGTCTCCATGCTTTGGGAGCTCCTTCTTTTCATAGTAGAAGTCCATTTCATTGTTTATGGGTCCGAACAAAATTGGGTGTCTACAATAAGCACTCTAAAATCTTAAAAATGAGTATAAAGTATACATAACAAGTTTCACAACAACTATTAATATAACAATATAGTAGGTTGAATTAAAATATTTACAAGGCCCGACCCATTAATCAACCAATTAACAAAGCTAAGCTAATCTAGGTTCAATTTTAACCATGGTTGCCTAACCTATAGTGTGTTTGGACGTCCAAAATGGATTCAAATTTGAATTCAAATTTCCACTCCAACTTGACATGTGCATCGTGTGCTTCTGGATCTAAGATCTAATCTAGCCAAGAAGAAAAGACCATGTGGCAAGCAAGAAAAATGTGACTTAATTTGGTTCCCATGTAATTAGCATTTGCATTTAAATTTAAGCTACACAATGTGCGCTTCCCTTGTCTGGCCATGTGTATCTTAAATTCAATTCAAATGTAATTCCTTGGCCTAAAATTATATTACACGTTCTAGGTCCAAAATTACACATTTAAGAAATTTACAACAATGTCCCTATTCTACTTGCCCCAAAATAAAGGAATTTACCTACTATTCCCAAAATAAAAGGCCCAAAGACAATATGTATAAGTATATGAGAGGTATTGGGCTAATATCTTTAGTGGCCTATAGCCCAAGATGAGCTAAGGCCCACTAACCTCAATATGGACCCAATTCTCTTAAGCCTTTCTAGCTTAGCCCACTCCTTTAGGCTCTTTCTGGATTGTATCCCTTGCCATGACTCCATCAAATCAGGAATTAAGAAAATCACTTTTATCATGTGAATTTTTGAAATTCAGTTATTGTAGATTTTATTAATTAAAAGAGTTTGATCTTACATTTTCAATTAAAAACACAAATGATAGAATAATGAACATAAATAATTCATGAATTCATCATTGGGAGTTCACTAGGAACAATTACACCACATCCTAAAATAGAGAAACTAGCCAAACATATTGCCAAAGACTTAACATTAAATTAAGGCAAAAAAAATTGTGAATTATAAATGTAAAAGTACCTAATTATTTGGGTTACAATTGATTAAGTTTTTATGCCAAAATCATGTTTCACAATGTAACAAATTTAATTATAAATGTAATCATTTCAATTAGTGTAAATTTTAAAACTCAAAAGAGGAAACCTCTTGTTGTAATCAATTACAACAAGTGGTAACCGATTGCACTTACACATTACATATTTTTGGAAAACCCATATTGCCAACAAGAGCAACATTAATAATTACATAAATTTCAAATATCTTCTTTGAGTGAAAAATAAGTATCAAACGCATGAGGGTGATTTACAAGACACATAATAAATCAAAGAGGTGAAAGATCTTGAAGCCTTTTCAACCAAGAATTTGGTTCTTCTTTTTTTTTTCTTCAAGAAACTAAAAAGATCAATTGGAAAGGCTTCATATAGGTTATTTTGTTTCATATTATTTTTCTTGTGTAAATCTCAACATAGGTTGTTGTTCCATTAATTTGTAAAGCGTGTAATCTTGTGACATGACTTCTCAAGTTTATAGGTTAGGGATGGGTTCCCTAATTGTAATATGAGTTAAGGGTTTCTATCAGGGGTTAGTAGGAATACTCAAGATGTAATGATGATCCGGCTTGATAGTTATGTAATTACAACTCTTTGTATATAGTGGGTGGATAACAAAAAATTTGGAAGTAACTTTTGGTTTTGAAAGTGAATCAATATAAACTTGTTGTGTGATCTTTCTTATATCTATACTTTGTTTCTTCTTCATCTAACATCTTGATTCATTGCTTTAATCAATCGAAGGATCTTTAATTCATTGCAATGGCCATTTGAGTTTCATATATTCATGACAATTAATGCATTAAAGAATTTTTTTTTTCAATAAAGAACCTTTACAAGATGTGTACATGAGGAAGAATCATGCTTCTGTGTGAAAATGTTTATACACTAATTCAACCTCCCTTCTCAATGAACCTTCATTTAAACATATATAAATGAAAAACAAACTCTATAAATTAAGAGAAATTCTAATAGCACTCTATGTCTCTCTCTCATGTTAATAACACTCTTT